GCAAATATTGCCGTGTTATCACTTAAACTGCTACGATCGTCGAAAATTCCCTGCGTGTCAAGTAGGAGAATGGCAATTTTTTCACCACTCGGAAAATCATGGGTAAAAATATCGGACCACATCCAAATACCGATTGTTTCTCGCTTTCGACCGCTTCGCCATTTGAATCCATCTAATTTGCTATTGGCCTTGTTTTCTCCCAGCCAATCAGAAACGTCGTGCTTTTTGTACTATTTAAAGAAACGTTCATAAGAAAAGTGTCGTAAGAAAATGTCATTTGAAAAGTGACTACCTGTGCCTCCAAGTATTTGATGAAGAAATTCGATAGAAAACTCTTCCCTTGTCGATATGCCCCTGCGATTGAAATGACAACAACGTGTCGATCCTTGATATGATCGGCTTCGAGAACTTGTTTTAATTCACTCAAATCCAATTGAAACGAATGATTCACCGGAGCCACAATTTGAATAGCATTCACGTTGCCTGTATTTTGCTCATCAGCGAAAATTGTATGGCTAAAGACGCCGATAACAAAGAGCACGTAAACGATCCACATGATCAAAATTTTTAAACTGAGTTCGGGGTTGCATGCCAATGGTATTTATATATGTTTGTTGATATCAGTCAGACATATACGTGCGGCGTATGCAACGATACGGCAAGAGCTAGCTTACTTATCGAAGCAACGATACGGCACAGAACTTACTTGCGGCGAATAGATTAGACTGATGCGGCTGTCTTATTTTTAGTTGTTCTTTGAATTCTGGTAATTTTATTTTCCCGTAAGCAGTTTTTCAAAAGTTCGTTGATCGTTGAGAAAAAGGCGATTATCAGCGGTTGCATGACTTATTATGAATTTAAATTGGTACTTTTTCTTGTTATGGAAATACACGGGTTGAATCATAGCTCGGGGATTTTTTTAGCATCAATCAAAGCATAGACGTTTATTTAATGCAAACATTCCAGATGTTGTTAATTTGATAGTTGGAATTCGAGTTCTTTTCCAAGAATAAATGAAGAAGAGCCTGTGACTTAAACATTCCCAAAAAAATAATTGCGTCGAAATATTCAGACCGAATAAATTTATATTATAATTTATTGAATTTTTTAGTGGTCCGTGCAAGCTGACGAGCAAATACGCATTTGGCGGAAATTTTGATAAGATTGAATGCAGAGTTCTTTGCTATGTATTTGTTCTTTGTGCACGTAAAGCGATAGTAAATAATCAGTTTGTTAAACATTCACTCTCAATTCAAGGTTCACTCTTTACGCGATACTTTTTCGAGTTGGAAATTCCAACGCTAATCTAATCTCTTTTTTTGCATATAATAAGCTGCTTATTCAGTACCAACAATTTAGTAAAAAACGCCTATGATAGGCTATGAAAACTCGTATTTTATAGAGTGAAATTGAAAAAATATTTATTTAAGTTTTTCTTAGTTAGAAGAATACATTAAATTCATTTTCATTGGGGAATTAATGTTTTTCACCATTTGAGGTCAAATTTTCTTCAGTTATTATAAGAATCTTTTTATATATAGTTTGAAAGCAAGATAATCTAATTTTTCAAATCTATATTTATTTCTGGAGCAGGATCATTTATCCAAACCACTTTCCAAAAGTAGCATCCCGAAATTTAACCCAATTGCTTGGTTCGTACGGCTCTGGCCTATTTCGTTCGTTGTCTTTATTCAAATTAACTTGCAAACTGTCTATTTCGCGTTCAAGTATTGGCCGATTATGGTGATAAGCTGCATTTGACAGTTCATCATTACCCAGTTTTCTTGATTCGAACTAAACAAAACATTCGGATTTGGTGGAGATTATAACACGTTTTGAAATTTGTTTACATACCTCTTGCAAAACGCTTTGTTTAGTTTTCGAAATCAATCTTACCAAATCATCACCGCTTAAGAATCTGCTTCCAATTCCATTTTTCACTTTATTTTCGAATGATGCCTTTAATTCTCTGACTAAGGCCTCTGTGTGGGCCTTTGCTCGTTGCTACAATTGAATATGTGAAATATTTCAATAACAAATTGACATCATTCAAGCGTTCTCCGATAAATTACCTGGAACTTCTGCCGTTTCGCTTCATTAACTTCACCAAACGAATGCTGTCTTTTTTCAATATTTGCCTCAATTTTTCGTTGAATTACAGATTTCAATTCATTGTCTCCGGGTTGCGATTGAAACTGGATTACAAGTTGGGAAAATTATTAACTCGTTTGAAGTTTTGGATAGTTAAAAAAGACAAACCTGATTAACAGCTGCATTCTTCGCCTTTTGATGAACACCGATGAAATCGCCATGGCTATAGTATTGAACTTCGCCGAGGGATCGATGCATTGTATCACTATAAGATTGCAGGGCATGAGTGTATGATTCCAACGTTTTGGCCAATGTGTCCTTCAAAGTGTTTAGACCATTTTTAAGCCTTTCACGAAGATCTCTGGATATGTCATCATCGCCCATTTTTCTGGTAGCAAACTGTGAATTCAAAATCGTTTCAATTTCATTTATTCAATCGAGAATTTGATTCACTTACATCTCTTAAAGCGGCATCGGTTTCGGATTGGAACACATTGTTCAACTGAGCAAAACTGAGTTCGGAATTCATTTTTTCAATTGCTTGGAGCATTTTCTGCTTAACTGCACCAATAATCTCAATTCCAATCTTATCGTTGTGTAAATTGGCTTTTTCCTAAAGAACCATTGTCATTGAAAGTGTGTATCAATGGAACGAACTGGAAATTTAGAGGGGTCGAAAGTAAACTTACAATGAACTCCCTGCGTTTTCTTTCATTTTCGGATTTGAATGTTTGATATCGCTGTTGTGTGCCATTTTCAATTTTTTGCTGGAATTTTGTTCGAAGCTCATCGCCACCGAGCTTTGGTTTTTCTAAGAACTTTTTGAATCAAAGTGAATTTATTAGCACTTCAATTGAATTAAGAGCGACACCGATCATTCCATACCTGTGCCAATACATCAGTCTTCGTCTGTTCATGAAGTTGCACAAGTTCATTTTCGCTCATAAACGGATTTGCATTCTTAAGTGCTGTTTCCATTGCATCACTGTACCTTTGCATGCAATCATTGTATAGAATTGTGTTGCTTGCTTCAGCTGTTGCCTATTTGAATAGAAATAACGATTTGAATAAATGAATCTTCAACAATAAATTCTGCATTAATTTCAACATGAAAAAGCATAAAACACATACCATTAAAACCGATTTTGGTTCCGGCAATGAACCTCCGTTGAATACATTCGTATAAGCTTGTAAGTATTGTGAAAAATCCCGAGCGCGAACTTGTTGGCCGTTGATTTTTTTCACAATTAACCTTTCCGGAGCAAAAAGTAATGGAGCCAATTCCTTAGCGTATTGTTTGAACTCTGCTGAGATTTGATTTAGTTCGCCCGAAAAATTCCGTGAATTTGCAACTGCCAATCCTGGATGAGGCATTAGAAAAGCGTCTATTTGTTGAAAACTCATTACGATTCGTCGTCTCAACTCTTGCATTTCAGGTGTTTGTTCTGAATTTCCAGCAAATACTTCATCCGCAACCTTTTTTCCATTACCATATGCTGTTTCATATGCGAATGGCCAGTCACGAACGATGAAGAGTAGCTTTTGGAACGGTTTTTCATTTGTTTGTTCGAGGGCAAGACGGCCGTATTCGGTGAATAGTTCCAAATGTTGTAAATCATCTTCGCGAATGTTTTGCATCAAATTGTAACACTGAACAGACGACAACATCATACTGAGCGCAAATATTGCCGTGTTATCACTTAAACTGCTACGATCGTCGAAAATTCCCTGCGTGTCAAGTAGGAGAATGGCAATTTTTTCACCACTCGGAAAATCATGGGTAAAAATATCGGACCACATCCAAATACCGATTGTTTCTCGCTTTCGACCGCTTCGCCATTTGAATCCATCTAATTTGCTATTGGCCTTGTTTTCTCCCAGCCAATCAGAAACGTCGTGCTTTTTGTACTATTTAAAGAAACGTTCATAAGAAAAGTGTCGTAAGAAAATGTCATTTGAAAAGTGACTACCTGTGCCTCCAAGTATTTGATGAAGAAATTCGATAGAAAACTCTTCCCTTGTCGATATGCCCCTGCGATTGAAATGACAACAACATGTCGATCCTTGATATGATCGGTTTCGAGAACTTGTTTTAATTCACTCAAATCCAATTGAAACGAATGATTCACCGGAGTCACAATTTGAACAGCATTCACGTTGCCTGTATTTTGCTCATCAGCGAAAATTGTATGGCTAAAAGCGCCGATAACAAAGAGCACGTAAACGATCCACATGATCAAAATTTTTAAACTGAGTTCGGGGTTGCATGCCAATGGTATTTATATATGTTTGTTGATATCAGTCAGACATATACGTGCGGCGTATGCAATCAAGCGTCGAAGCAATGTTACAACACAAAACTTACTTGCGGCAAATAGACTGGAACGATGTTTTTTTTAGTTATTCTTTAAATTTTGGTCATTTTATTTTCTTGTAATTTAGAAGTTCGTCGTTCGTTTAGCTAAATATGAGCATTTCTTTTATTTGTGTTGTTTATTGCATCGTCAGGCCAAATTTAATTGATTTATTCAATCGTGTTCTATCGAAAAAATAACGTAATTTTTAATGACTATAACCATAATATTTACTTTGCATACTTTGTATTTGTTATCACTAAAAATGACTAAAACATGCCACTTTGTGCTTTAATTGAGATGAAGTTGAAAACTTGACTTCCTTTCCTCTTTCCCTTCCTTGTGTAATCCTTTTCAATTTGGCGATACGGTGTGCGGCAAACGAAGCAGAGTGTGTGACTATTTTGCTCTTCACTGCTTTGATGATGCTGTTTTGCTGCTTCATATTAACAACAATGAAGCGAAATTTGTATGCGAGGATATTGCGATAAACGATCAATCATTAGAAATACTCTTTCAAATAAAAAAAATCAGATTTACCGCCCGTGTTTTCGGCTAACGAACGTCACAGCAAACCACAATTTGGGAATTTTGTGATAGTATTCTAATCTTGTGTGCTGAATAAATGCAAAAACGTATTACGTAATCAACTAATCATATATTTGAATATTCAGGATGATTTTTAACATATTTTTCGCAAAATCGGTAAGAATATACGTGATTTATTCAATTGTTATTTACTCATATAGAAGCGACAGATAATTATCAGTTAAAACTTAAAACAACAAGCATTGAAAGAAAAAAAATATTGAAAAGATGTTTTTCAATTTTTATTCGAACTCTAAAGAAATTACACGGTAATATAAGGGTATATTTACAAGTTTTTCATTGTTTTCAATTAAATGTCCCTTGATTTTGGTCTTTTTATCACCATTCACTTGAAGTGTTGGTGTGTTAGATATGTTTTAACCAATCCTTAAATGCTTCACGCAATATAATCCATTCACTGGGTTTGTATGGTTCTGGCTTATTTTGTTCGTTGACTGCTTTAAGTGTGGCTTGCAAATTGTTTATACCTGCTTCAAGTATCGGACGGAAACTGTGATAAGCTTGAGTAGACAGTTCATCGTTGCCCATTTTGCCCGAATCAAACTAAACAAAGCACTCAATTAATCGGATAATGTAAAACCTTTCAAGTTCTTATCACACCTGTTGTAGAGCACATTCCTTTGATTTTGAAAATAATTCGGAAAACTCATTATCGCTTAAGTATGCGCTTCCAATACCATTCCTTACTTTATTCTCGAACGATGCTTTTAATTCCTTGACTAAAATCTCACTGTGAGTGTTTGCTCTTTGCTATAATTGAAAAATATTAAAAAATCCACTTGAAACATGCGATTCCATTCAATCAAATTCATACAAAACGCAACAAAAATAAATGTCAAGCAAATATTTACAAGGAAATTTTGACGTTTTGCTTAATTTGTTGCACCAAATAAATGCTGATTTTGTTCAATATTCGCCTCAATCTTGCGCCGAATAACCGTTTTCAATTCATTGTCTCCGGGTTGCGATTGGAACTGAATTACAAATTGGGGAAATTATTTGCTCGTTTGAAGTTCTGCATAGGTAAAAAAGACAAACCCGATTGACAGCTACGTTCTTCGCCTTTTGATGGAGTTTAATGTAATCATCGGGACTGAAATACTGAACTCCGTTGAGAGATTCATGCATTGTATCTCTATAAGATTGCAGGGCACGAGTGTATGATTCCAATGTTTTGGCCATTGAGTCCTTCAACGTGTTTAGATCATTTTTAATCTTTTCACGACGATCTCTGGATATGTCATCATCGCCCATTTTTCGGGAAGCAAACTGTGAATTCAAAATCGATTCAATTTCATTTATTCAATTGAGAATTTAGTTCACTTACATCTCTTAAAGCGGCATCGGTTTCGGATTGGAACACATTGTTCAACTGAGCAAAACTGAGTTCGGAATTTATCTTTTCAATTTCTTGGAGAAGATTTCGCTTAACGGCTCCAACAATTTCACCGCTGATTTTTTCATTGTGTAAATTGGCTTTTTCCTAAAGAACCATTGTCATTGAAAGTGTGCATTAATAGAACGAACTGAAAATTCAAAAGGATCGAATGTAAACTTACAATGAAATCCCTGCGTTTTCTTTCATTTTCAGCTTTGAATGTTCGATATCGCTGTTGCGTGCCATTTTCAAGTTTTCGCTGGAATTTTGTTCGAAGCTCATCGCCGCCGAGCTTTGGTTTTTCTAAGAACTGTTTGAATCAAAGTGAATTTATTAGCACTTCAATTGAATTAAGAGCGACTCTGATCATTCCATACCTGTGCCAATACACCAGTCTTTGTCTGTTCATGAAGTTGCACAAGTTCATTTTCGCTCATAAACGGATTTGCATTCTCAAGTGCTGTTTCCATTGCATCACTGTACCTTTGCATGCAATCATTGTATAGAATTGTGTTGCTTACTTGAGCTGTTGCCTGTTTTTATAGAACTACCGATTTGAATGAGTATCTTAAACAATATTTTCGAAATGAAAATCGACAACACATACCATTAAAACCGAGTTTATCTCCGGTAATTTGTCTGAATTGAACATATTCGTATACGATTCTAAATATTGTGACAAATTTCGAGCACGAACTTGTTGGCCGTTGATTTTTTTCACAATTAGATTCTCCGGAGCAAAAAGCGATGTCGACAATTCTTTCACATATTCAATGAATATTGGTTCGATCAGATCTAGTTCGCCATTAAAATTTTGATCAACCGCTACTACAAATCCAGGATGCGGCAATAAAAATGTGTCAACTTGTTGATAACTCATTCTGATACGTCGTCTCAACTCTTTCATTTCAGGAGTTTGTTCTGAATTTTCGGCGAAGACTTTGTCCGCATACATTTTGCTGTCTCCAAATGAAAACTTCTGTGGATTTGACCAGTCACGAACGGTGAAAAGTAGCTTTTGAAACGGTTTTTCATCGGTTTGTTCGAGAGCAAGACGGCCGTATTCGGTGAATAGATCCAAATGCTGCAAATCATTGTCGCGTATCATATTCACCAAATTGTAACATTGAACGGACGACAACATCATACTGAGTGCAAATATTGCCGTGTTATCATGCAAAGTGCTATGATCGTCGAAAAGTCCCTGTGTGTCAAGCAGGAGAATTGCGATTTTTTCACCATTCGGAAAATCATGGGTGAAAATGTCGGACCACATCCAAATACTGACTGTTTCTCGGTCTAAACCGCTTCGCCATTTAAATCAATTTATTTTGCTGTCATTTTTAGTCTCGCCAAGCCAATCAGTGACATTGTGTTTTTTGTACTATTTAAATGAATACATTAGCATGACTGCGGTACTTGTAAACGTCATCAAAAAAGTGGTTACCTGTGCCTCCAAGTATTTGATGAAGAAATTCAATAGAAAACTCTTCCCTTGTCGATATGCTCCTGCGATTGAGACCACAACAACATGTCGATCCTTGATATGATCGGTTTCGAGAACTTCTTTTAATTCATTTAAATTTAGGTGGAAGGAATGATTCACCGGAGCCACAATTTGAATGGCGTTGCCACAATTTATGTCATCGGCTGAGATTTGATGGCTTAAAACGCCGATAACAAAAAGCACGCAAGCGATCCACATGGTTTGTATTCACTGAATCTAAAGTCACACGAGCGTGTTGTTTATATATCAATTCAACGACAATTTAGCACAAAAAACTCACCGATACGTCATGAAACTGAAATAAATAGACGAAGTTTATACGGACTACGGATGTCGTGGTCGTTATCTTTATCGTTGGTTCGAAAGTCTGCGTTATTTGAAGAAACAACGATTAAATAACAGTGAGAACTTTTGAAGCATTGACCGAATTTTTTTAACTCAATTAATTGAAGCAATCACAGAGTGCCTTATCAGAGAGGTCACATTTTAGTTCCTTTGCACAACAACGAGAATGATTCACTTGTAAATATGGCATTTAATTTCAAGCTATTTTCATTCAATTGATAGAATTTCATTAAAATGCATCTTTTAGTTCATTGAATTGCAATTAAAACGCTGCTTCTCTCATCTGAATCATAGCGTTGATAAGCTGTAGTGATCGCTGAGAAATGGAGCAAAATGAAACAAAAGTAGGGAATTCCCAGAATTTTTTTCTAGTTTTAAATAGATGGACAACGGTTTTGAAATAATCAGAAATTATTTTCAAGAATAAATTTTTACAAGAAAAAATATGATCGAAATGTTTGTTTGACTGTGCAACTCATCCGTTTAGACATTGATCGGATTGAATCCTTCCTACTGTTTGAACTTTTGATGGAAATTCGTTCGATTCGCTACCCCTCCCCCTCAGTACCAATTTTTGCTCGAAAACTCTCTTATTATCAATTTTTGTTCGGGGAAATTTTACTGAATCGATTTTTAGCTGGGAACCCCCATCAATCTTCGACCGTTAGAGAGAGCTCTATCTAGATTATAGACTATACGGATTATTGCTTTGTTTTCAATCGAAATTTTATCTGCTTTACACAGTTTCGGAACCTATGATGGGAAAAACGTGTAAATTATATAAATTGGTACGATGCAGCTACTGTTGTTTGTTTACTTTTAAGTAGGTTATCGCAGTGAATCATTTCTGTCAATCGGTTTAAAATGTATATTGAAAATGTCGACATTTATTGAGTATTTTTTTCTCTTTCACTTTTATTTTCTGACTCACATGCAATGCGGCGTCAAATCAGCTTACAGTACTACAAAATAAATAAATACCACACATGTAAATAGATACAATGCACATTAAACACAAATGAAACAGTGTTTGAAGAACGAAGCATTGACTGTGGATGCGATACACAATGATGATAGTGCGAATGCAGCGTAAACAAAAATCTTGGCATATTATCTGTAATTTATTTTGTTTTGGTCATTAAAGCACGAGAATTAAACTCAATTCGATTTAAGTCAAAATTGAATATAATTGAAGCACTATTACACAGTTGTCTCCTAGGTTGTCTCTCTTTCGTTGTTCAAACCAACATTTTTTCAAAGCGAGTCAAAATTGTTTGGATCGTTTTTGAAGAATTGAAGAAAAATGAAGAATGTTCCGAAATCAAATAAAAGAGTGTGATGGGGTTTTTTCGACTTCTTTTGCATATGCTTCACACTAGACACACAAAATGTATGAATCTAGATATGAATCTTATTAGATATGCAGCTATTGCGAACGATCATCAACACCTTCCAACCCATTCGTAACAATGCTAGTGTATTGATGATAATTTATACATTTTAATACGAATGTACATAAATTACTCATCATTTTAATGAAGGCATATTAATGAGGATCAAATGAATATTAAAAGTGGAACATTTGTTGATGATTATCAATAAGATCTCTCCATTTAGGTAATCGTGAAACATTGAGTAAAACAAGAAGAAAGGAACAATGTTGAATTTGAGATATTTCATGTTGTTGCTATTTGGGCTTATCATTTCAGAGGTGAGCTTATACTTTACTTCGGTAAAGAGAAAATTTAATTTTTGAAAAAGATCAATTTTTTTGGAAGAATACTTCAGTTCAGTCGTTCCTTTTTAGAATTCAAACGCTTACGTTTTGGTAACTTTTCAAGACCAAAACACTTGATCCATGAAAAAGTTGATATCTCTATCTATTATTAGGAGTGTCTTTTTTCAGCACTTATTTGTGGGTGGAAAATCGGATGTATCAAACAAAGGCGCCAAAATTGAGCGTGGAAATGAAGCAAATCCCGCGAAAACACCCATAAAATTGAAAGAAAAAATCGCATATCAATTGAAGAACAACCAATCAAAGACGGCATAAAGTTTTTTGAAGAGTTGGTAAAATCTTCTGCTCTTCCAACGAAACCACGAGCATTGCAAAACAGGAAACAATTTGATCAGGTTGGTTATAAATACCTTTTTTCGTTAAAATTATATTCTTCAAAGAAAAAATATGTTCATTCCAACCGGCTAAGCCTATGAAGAGACAAAATGCGAATTCCCCTCATCTGTGCCATCTTGTATTCCATAGTTGAACTCAATTTAGTTACAATGAATTGAATCGAAAAAGAGAAAAAAAAAACATAGATCTGTTGACCAGTGAGATACGTATAACAATGGAATGAAAGAATGAAGAAAGCGTATATGTGTATGTATGCATCAGCACGCATAGATGTACAGCTCTGTGTGGCCGTGCTATTGTTGTTGTTTTTTCTCTTTTTCATTTCAATGCTACAAAATTAAATTCAGTTTTTCGATCTAATTCGAACTAATGTGAGGTGGCGCTGATCAGCTGCGTTCGCATAAAAAAGTTCCCAATCTCATATACGCCAACCCCGCTTGGTTCATTCATTCAAAAGAAATTTCAGTCAAGCAGAGGAATAGGTACTATTTTCAGCTTTAAAAATATTGTGAACTACACTAATTTCGCTTCATTGAATTCACGTTCAATCATCTAAAATTGAGCATTCATTGCAGTTGAGAAATTCGAAGACTACAAATACACGGCTGAACTTTTATACAAAGACGGTAGTAAAGATACGGTGTATAGGTGCAGTGCAACTGTAATATCAAACTCAAAGATCCTTTGCTCCGCAAATTGTGTATATGGGAAAACTGACGTGGCTCTAGGATTTGGAGACGAGCACTATCACATAGTCAATGTTAGTCAACGTGAAATTTTTGTGCACCAAAGCTGTCATTCAACTGAAAAACGCTTTGAAATTTGACAAAAATGTTTGAAAAATTGATATGGTTCTCGATAAGTACGTTATAGGCACGGATGATAATGTTACATTGCTGGGTCACTCAAAGGGTTTTATGCGATATTTTAATTCAACAATTGCCGACTTTATCGGAAGTCGACGTTTATATTTGAAACAGAAAAATGATTATCCATTGCTAGAACAATGGACGAGAAAAAAGTTGCACAATAATGCGCCATTTATTGAGGTGGTTATTAATGTATGTAATTACAAAGACGGAATTGTTGGATAGTGTCTCAACTAAATTTTCATATCGCTTGTTTTCAACCACAATTCGCACACGTCACCAGATGGCGTTTTTACAATATGACATCTCTCAGTCATGATGGTTGGCATTTCAGGACCTGTTCATTCGCGTTTATTTTTTCTTTTCTTTTTCAAAATAGAATTTTGACGGTTTGTACGTCAGTGATTGGTCATCGTGCGTTTATTGAGAATCCGAAAATGAGATATAAATGAAATTGCATGTGAAAAAAATCCTGTTGGTGTGAGGAAGAGACGTGTACAATTGTGCGGGTCTTTAACATCTCCTGAAATATTCGAAAAAATAAATAGCACACTTTCGAGAAGACAAACGAAATGCTTTTTAAATCAATGTTTATTTTCAATTTTTTTTACATTTCCGCAAAAAATATATTTCATTTTGAGAAAATAATTGAATAATGTCAAAGTCTGAACTGAAGAGTTGAAAATCGATATTTCTTCAATAGCCAAGCCTAGACAAGTTCAGCTCGTCTACGCAACCAAAATTCATCATGATTTTCTGCATCTTTTTCAATTGTCTTTCCGTAAAATTTCTGAAAAACAAACGAACATGATCAATATGAAATTAGGAAAGAAATTCCCGGGTTTCAGTTGCATTACCTCAGGCGAGATTGTATCAAGTTGAGGATGTTTCCACACCTTTTTAGCTGGAACACTTTTCTTCTCTTTCGTGTTATTTGGAACATCAATTTCAGATCGGCTTTCCATTTTGATGTAAGATCTTTCGCTTGGTTTGTAGTTTATAAAATTGACAAAACTACGTTGGAAAAAAATTAAAACTTTTTTAGATTTCATCTTTCACAGTATTTTATAAAATAAATATGACTGAATATATTGAATGAATTTGCATTTATAATATTGATGGAACGATTAAAAAAAATACGGAACTGCGTGCTATGGACACTGTACAGTGTACACTGATCTGAATGATGACTTAATCAAGGAAATACACGAAAAAGGCAAAAAACTTACTTCCGAATGAATAACACAGATCTTGTGGATTTAACTTACAAAGTCGAAGAATGTGAAATTTGCGTTGAATATGGAGCGAATACAACGGACAAATGAAATAACGAACCATAAAATACTAATAACGTTTTATTTTCATATGTGAATGTCGACTAAAACGAAATGAAATAAGCAAAATTAAGATCGACTTGTGTCAACACTGTGTTAGCTAAGAAACACGCCAAACAACGGAATTACAAAATATCTGAAACGAATAAACACTTTGCTTTTATACACAAATTTGCATGACACATAATACCACATAAGCATAATTGAAAAGAGATTTCGAAGCAAAGCGTGATTTATCGAGCAATGTAATTGACTCATATGAAAATTTGTTATTAATCTGCCACTTCTGGAGTGTCTTTGAGACATATTTACATATGATCCAGTAAACATGCTCGTTAGCATTGACTCTCCTCGAATTCATAACAAATGTTTTATAAAGCGCTACACAATTTTTGTTTCAATAAGCGTTCGATTGACGATAAAAGTGCTCACAATTTCCTTTCAAATAGAAAAATATTGATTTGCAAAGCGTTGATATGTAATAATATTGATTGAATTGAATTTGTTCATTTACGATATCAACTGACATAAATGAATAAACAAGACATATGAAATGAAATAAATGATTAATTGCAACTTGTTCTAGACAAAACATCGCCAAAAATTAAACACATTGAGTTAAATTTCGGTGTTCACCAAAATATCGGAAATGAGTTCCATGGCATTGCTTGACAGATCAATTTTGAGAGCACTGTAGTGTGCTTCATATCTTTTTCATTCCAATTTAAACGTTTTTTCTTTTCAAAGCAACATAAAGTGAGAAATGGGCAGAAATATTTCTCTTTTTACAGAATATTATCGTTGTGACAGCATCCACCATCCTCCTCGATGTACCAGATATTACAAGGAAGATCATTCTTACCCTGGGTTCCAGCCTTTAAAGGCCATCAGTTGCCCAGTGTGTGGAAAAGTTAATCTTCCTTACCGATCTGTAAGTCAACGTATCAAAAACACATTACTTTTTGGTACTAATTTCATTCATTTTTTTATATTTCAGATTGGCAGACAATAGCAAATGGAATGGTTCATAGTAGAGCAGAAACATATGCAATGACATCTTTTTAAATATATATCTTCACATCGTTTGTTGAAAGAGTTGAATAAAACCTAATTCTATCAGCAGCGAAATTTCTTGCTTTTTATTACAAAGAAAAAGATTTCATCGCTATTTTTTTGTAACACATTTCCGCAGATTTTGTTATTTTTTCAGACATTTCCATTTCGGTCGTTTACAAGGGTTGGCATTTGGAGGGAATTTCCAGTAAAGCAAAAGTAAATGGTCGAAACGTGGAGAGAATTTCAATTTCTTTCAGCTGGTTTCTTTCCTAAGCAACTCACTTGTTTTAAAAGTTTAAAAAAAACCTTTCGCTAAATTCACTTAAAATAAACCACGTACGGAGTTCTCAAATATTGAAAAACGCATTTGATTTTTTCTTGTTTATACTTAATTCTCGCGCTTAATATTGAATTTCAGTCACTTGTTTATTTATCACATCATGTACACTAAGTTGAGTTGATGATGCTACATTTATTGTTCTGTAGCTTAAAACATGATTAAAAGAATCCCCGCGTGTTTATTATGGACAATTCTGCAGTCGTAGACTTTTCGATATTTTCGGTGTGATATGTGCGTCGCTGAAAATGACTCATTCTCTCGCCCACAGAAATGTTCATAGATGATAACAATTTATAAATAGCCACAAAAAATTTGTTTCAATCGGCGTTTGCTTGATGTATATGTGTTTGCTTTCAACTTTCAGCTTGAGACGTAATTGGTTTTATTTTTACTCTTGTTTGGATACAGCTTTATTATAGGCTTGTCGGAATTCGTTTCTCTCTAGAATATTATGTTGCTAATGCCATAATTTGAACATTTTACTGTGGTAAAACTAAAATTGGAAAAAATGTGTGTCTGTGGAGTTTTGTTGTATTATCCATTTGAATTTTTGAGTGATAATCAAAAAAAGTGTCGAGATATGGCACTGAATATCCAAAATTATAGTATAATCACACCAAAATCCCAAAGAGAATCGAAATCCGACAAGCCCACTTCATCATCTGAATTAAAGTCGAAAATGATATGGTCGAACCGATTGTTAACACGAACGTCAAGTAAACATTCAAGCAACGTTTATTGATTTGCAAAGTATTCATATATAAATATTGATCGCATTGAATCTTACTTTCCGCGCATATATCTTGTATGTAAGGAGAAAGTATTTTATATGCGCAATAGACTGGTACAAATGGATAAACAACTTAAAAGAACTGAGATAAATCATTTATCGCAACTTATTCTATATCAAACAGTAAACACTTTGTGTAAAATTTCGGGGTTATATAAGAAATGACGTTGATGGTGGCGTTTAACATATCAATTTTAAAACCACTGTGGTGTACAGATCATCATACTTTCTTCATTCGAATTTAAACGTTTTTTTTGTCAACAGGTCTTCAAAGCAAAAAAAAATTGAAAATGAACGATAGTAGTTACACGTTAACAGAACATTATCGTTGTGACGGCTTCTTCCATCCGTCCCATCTTACAAGGAATTACAAGGAAGTTCATTCTTACCCTGGTTCCCAGCCTGGAAAAACCGCCATTTGTCCGGTGTGTGGACAAGCTAATTTCCCATACAGATCTGTAAGGCAACATTAACACATTACTTTTTGATATTTTTGGTTTTTTGGAGCGTAAATTGACACAATAATTTAAATAAAAAACTGTTTTTTATTTAAATTACTTTTTGATACTAATTTCATTCATCTTTCACATTTTAGGTTTTTAAAATATAGAAAATGGTTCATACTAAAATAGACCCCAGGAATATGAGGCACTCCAATGAAAGCAACGATTCTATATTGTTTTATTAAAAGAATTAAATAAAACCTAATTCTGTTCGAAAGTCGGTAGTGAAACTGTTTAGTCTTTTATTTTACTTTGAATATTCATTCACAGCAAACCAATTTCATTCGCAAACAAATTTCCTGAAAACATGAATTTAATGAATAAGACTTAAGTCACACCAATTGACATTTGAAGGCGAATATGTGTTCAGCTTAAAACGGTAAACAACTGAATTGAAAAATGTTCCTTAGTGTTCGGATGGCGAATATTTTGATTTCTTTCAACTGATGGTAATTTTACACATTCACACACTTACCATACATTTATATCAATATCGAATTGGTGACAGTACCGAAGGATTCAAACAAAAAAAAATCGATTTTCTCTTCAATTTGTCGTTGTATTTAATGATTTTCTACAAAATCGATGTGACTAATGACATAGTATATATTATTATTGTTTAAAATAAAATATGATTTATTCAATCGAATTATTTCGTATTTAAGTCTTTTAAATTATGTCTTTCTCAATCATAAATCTAAATTTAGCAGCATAATTCTCTATCACAAACTGAATGGCTGCAATTTATTGAGAAATTTCGGGTTCGTCCATGGCAAATGATTCCAATGATGTAATTTTACCGGCTACAATGGTCACATCGTCGATGCGATCACGAACAAAGAACAAAAATGGTCGATTTATAACGATGGTACGATCATTCAGCGGGCCATTTGATCGCAATGCAATTGATGCAGTCAAAAAGTTTTCGGCACTTGATGTTTCATCGACGCGTAAGTTGACGTGCTGTTGTAATTCGTCGAGACGAAGTTTTAACGATTTCGATATACCGCTGAAGTCAGCTTTTGAGGTGAATAAGGATGCCAAACCTTCTTTGGCAAGCACCTTTTCCGCGCCACTCGTTGTTTGCACTTCAAATCTCGGTAAATTCACCGTTATAAATTCATCGGCCAATTCATTACTGATTTCATTCAATGTATTCGCATTGAATTCATTTATTAAATACTTCAAACCATCGGAACCCTCTGGAATCACGACAAGCATCGAGTAACGAATATTCTGAGAATGAAGAATTGGAATGAAATTGATGGAAAAATTGAAAATCAGATCTGAATTGACGGAGGAGAAAGGAGACTCTTACCTCATACGGAAATTCAACAGCTTCACTCTTATACTTTGTAATGTTGGCAGTTTTGAAGTAACCTTGAGCTTTCATCATTTTTATCGGGATTCTTTGACCATTCATCGTATTGAAGATATTTTCAACATTTTCGTCACGCAAATGCTGTGGTGAAAGTAAAAAAAAGGTTCAAAAAATAATTGAAATCAATCTCTTGGTTACTTTTGGATCTAAACAAAAATTTCCAAAAAAAACCAAAAAATTTACAAAACTCTTCGAAAAAATCAAAAAACTTTTCAACAAATATGAAAAACTGTGAAAAAATTCAAACCAAAACTGGAAAATATGAGAAAAAATTGACAAAATCTCGTGGATAACGAAAATATCGCTCGATATCACCTGGAATGGAGTGGCCCAATTTCCATGATAGTATAATCCATTGAACAGTAACATTTTTGGCTCAAATCGATTGGTATCAGTTTCGGTCAAGTTTTCCTTTTCTCCAACGATCGAACCCCCGCTTACAATTGAAGCACCTTCGCCTGATTTTCCACCAAACTTCAAAAAAAGATAAGAATTAATTTTTATATAAAAATTTTAATGTTACTGTCGGTATTTTGCGGTATTCCAAACGGTTCTACGACATTTTCAAAGAAAAATTTTCACCTCACACATTAAGCGTGTGCGTAAAATTAAAAAGTGGAAAAAATCGTTCGAAATATTGCAAGGTACTGGCAACAACTCTTTTTCCAAAAGTCAAATTCAAATTCGTTCCATAGTCAACATGCGATCGCGAAAAAAAAAACTCACAACTTTGCCCAATCGTGTTTCTGCCGCTTGCATAATTTCCATCTCTTCATACTGTTTCAATGGCAATAAAACTTTCTTTGCGTCATTTGCACCGCTGCCCACTCCAACCGCCTCTTCATTGTTCACCGTCTCAACTTTATGTTTTGCCATTTCGTCTTTAATAAGTGGAACCTCAACATATTGTTGATCTTCAATAACTTCATCAAATTTCGATGGATCATTTTGGGTGTCAATGCGTGTTTCATCCACTGGACCGCCTTCCATTTTAAATGAATCAAATTCAACAATATCTTTGCTATTTGTTGGTTTATCTTCATTTTTCGCTTTATCATCTGGTGCTTTCGTCGACGATTGCATCTCTTCTGTTGGTCTAACGATTGAATAAGTGGTTGCATCCATCGATTGTTGCTCATATGGTTCTACATTTCGAACGGTCACATAAAAATCGTTCACCAAAATCTCACGATACGAATCATCGATGGTGTTATTTTTGTAAATATAGAACCAGCTACGAAACTGTGGTGCAGCCTGCGGATCCATGCCTTGTAAGTGTGACAAGACGGATCGATAGGCGCCACGTACCGATGCCCGATCATTTGGATGCTTTAAAACGGTATTAATATCGTTGTTTGTCTCCTCATGTGCGCCTTCACCTAAGATCGCCAAAATTGATGCGTATCCAATGGGCGAAAAGATGGAATTTTTTTGATTTTCAACATTTCCCTTCAGCAATTTAGCCGTGATGATATTCGTCGCTTGGCCAACAATCTCTTTGTTCTCACGTGAATCGAGAGGCGGCAAACCACCGATATTGTGCGATAACAACAACAAAATACCTGAATAACAGAAATAAAGAAATTAATTTGATATGCAAATGTTTGTGACACGCATTATAAGGCAGAGTATTGCTCAGCGCTGCTGCCATCCACAGCATATTAAAATATCTTGCTGAGAATGCGTCGTCCGTCGCATGCGAACGTACGTAGTAGTTTATACATCACAGCGAACAAGAATGAATCCATTGTTCTCTTCACGATTATGTGACTCAAAACATTCAAACGATTGTATAGAGAACAATGCATGTATTGTTGTTCGCTGTGATGTATAAACTGCTACGTACCTTCGCATGCGACGGACGACGCATTCTCAGCAAGATATTTTAATATGCTCTGGATGGCAGCAGCGCTGAGCAATACTCTGTTATAAGGTAACCGCCGAAATGGTGGCAAGAGAGAATGTAAACAACAACAGGTCTTTCACCCGCGCACACAATTTTGTATACACACAAACGAGATGTGAAGCACCGTGTTGTCAATGAACTTTGTAACGAATCTTGATTTTGAAAAAATGCTGATTCACATCTTCTTGCACATATTGATTCTGGTTTTATTTACATTGGTTTGTTGAGTTTGTAGAAGTTAATTATGACAATCGATAATTTTGCTCGTTACGCAAATGAGATATATTTCGTATTCTCTTCTGCTTTTTATTCGCGATTGCGTTTGCACACGTTAAATAACGGCATTTCTCTGATCAGATGATAAACAAAAAAACAAACGAAGAAGAAAAACAAGCAAAAAAAATTCTTGATCCGTTCTTCACATCGTTCGATGTCTTACACCGGTTTGTCAAAACTGGTCACACGGACACCGAACTCTCATTTCAATTTACTCTTTTGCTTTGTTTTGGATTAATTCCGTTTTACATTAAAACTGACTTTTTTTATTTGACCCAAAAAAACACCTTTTTCAGACTCGGACGATACTCTTTGTACACATTTTCAACTTTTTTTCTTTTTTTTTCTCTAATATGTCCCGCAATTTGGATTGAATTAGGTGAAGAACGACCGATCTTGTCAGATTAAATACTTCCTGATGTGATTTTTTAATTCAATTTGGTATCATCGGTTCCGTCATTCTTCAAAACAATGGAAAAATTTAAATAAGGTTCAAATAAGCTTCAAATTTGAACGAAAATTCATAGTGATTGAATGAACAAGGTTTCGTACGTTTTTACTTGAAAGTGTCTTAAAGCGTGACTTTCTAATAATTAACCATAATTATTTCACGAGGAAATGTCACGATTTAACTTGATTTCAAATAGCAAAGTTTTTCTATGTTTTACTCCAATTTTGCCACCTTTACAAATTTTTGTCTTTTCTAAACTTTTCACAAATAGGAGGAAACACAATAGGCGCGTGCAGAAAAGTAAAAGAAATAATAATTGTTTGAACAAAATCTGGAACGAGATTCACCTGCGATAATCAAATTAAAACTCATTGCGATTCGATAATTGACTGTTACTCAATCGACACAAAGAAAATCACTGAACAAATATTTAAAGAACCACTGTAAATACTCAAGCGCTAAAGATGGAATGGTACTTCTTTGCTGTATTCATAACGTTTTTATGCGTGTCGCACGGAAAGAACGATCCATACAACCACACACGCGAATTTAAAACAAGTTTTTGCGCGAACAGAGACTTATATCAGAGTTAAGAAAATAACGGATAGTTGGACGTTTTATTTGTGCTTGGACTAATGCTATTTCGATTACATTAAATATCGTTTTTAGAAATATGAACGTAGGATCAATAGAAGAACGTAGTGGAGGCATGATGATGTTGAAAAAAAGTAAGTGATAAAAACATACTGTGAACTAACAGTAACAGAAGCTGTAAACGAGCAAATAAGTTGGCTCAAGCTCAACCGAATGGTCTCTGACCTTATACGACACGAGGTCGAGTCAAAAAAACCAAACTTGGAAATACTTCAGATTATATGGTGTTATTCTGTCCCATGATCTGATTTGTTTACTATGTTATGTTCCTTATACATGCGAGGGTCAACAGAATTGTCCAGAATATAAATGTAGAAAATGCTAGAAATTTTTTTTATGTTGCGCTTAACTAAGTTATGGTTATGCGAAATAAATAAATATCGGAATTGAATATCGTGCCAAAAATTATTATTCTGATAGTGAGGTTCGCCTTAAAACAAAAGAATATTCTGTGAGTAATACAATGTAACAGACGGTTCCAGAATATGAAATGAAGATTAAATTCGATAATTACACAAAAGTACTTTGTTATTCATTAAAAATAATAATAAAATTCATAACGAACTATATTCCAATTTTTTTTAAATCAGTGACAATAAAAGGGACAGTCAACTTCACGACCATTCTTGCAAATGAATGGGCAATGTTGCTCACGTCATGCGAGACAGAGATTTTTACTTTTGCACGACCATACGGGTCATAGTTAGTTAGTCGGCCATTAGAGTAAGCAACACGTATCTCAAAGCAAGCGTCTTTCTTTGACTACACACAATTGTACGCAAATAAATTGGAATTTGTGAGTTTTTTTTTTTTTGCTAAAATGTCAGTTTGTCTTGAATAGAACTGGGAGAATTGAAAAATCTGCATTAAATAAATTGAAATCAATCGGTTTAACGCGAGATATTGAATTTGAACATTTGTTGAAGAAAAAAAGAGTGAAAAATATTGATACGATTTTTTTCTGAAAGGGAGATAACACAATGTAATATATTTATTTAATCTTATTTTAAAACGTCCGTTTTCTTGTATTAGTTCATCTCTTTGTATCATTTTTAAGAAAAAGAACTGATACGATACACTAAGTTTTCATTCGGAAATTTTCCATGACGTCATTGCACAATGTACGCGTCTTAATATTTAGCACACATTCGTAGTAATGTTGAGTGTGCATAAGTGAGTCAGCAATTTAGCAAAAATGAAGCATATTGGAATGTTTGGTGAATTGTTGAGGTTATGTTAAGGAAAAGTCTTTTTTTTTTTTTTTTTGCTAAAAGGAATATATTTGAACATGAGCCTTGGATAGTGTCTAAAGATTGATTTGATTTTGTTATTAAAAAATATTTTGAAAATTGAAATAAGTTCCGACGGAACATTGATTCAAGTACACTAAATTTATTGCATTTTATTTTCATATCGAATTAGCAGTGGATCAAAATGAATCCGTATCGAAGCAAAGGAACTTTGGATGGAAAGTTCAAAAACCACAAATGCAAGCGAAAGCCAAAGAAACAACAAATTGAAATCAAACGAGAAATAAAAGAAGAACCAAGTGACGGTGCTTATTTGATTCCGGACACTTCGTCATCGCCCCAAATCACAACGAATGTAGTCATCAAGTCAGAGAGCGAAAGCGACAGTGAGATCGATTCGGAAAACAAGCCGAATTATTTTAAGAAAGAGATCAAGGACGAAGTCGAGTGTTTGAAGAAAGAATGCGACACAGCGAAGGATGGAAATGGAATGAAAAACGATGATCAGATTGGTGAAAGTTCAAGTGCTTCAAAACGAATTCCAAATAAAAAACATCAAAATGAAGGTCGTGCAAAACAGAAGAAATCAAAGGGTGCAAAAATGGCCAAACATTCAAAGAAGCCGACTGATTCAAAGCATCAAAAGAAACACAAATGCACTTTTTGTAATTATGTAACATCGAACAAAGGACATCTCACAGTGCATATTCGTACCCACACCGACGAAAAGCCGTTCGCATGTGAAATATGTGCCAAGGCTTTTGCACAAAAGTCAAATTTGAAGTCTCATAAGAAAACTCATGCGACTGAATTTCCATTTTCCTGTTCAAAGTGTCGCCAGGGTTTTGCACATGAAATTGATAAAATCAACCACGAAAGCGAATGCAAACATCGTCAATACCAGTGTCATATATGCAAGAACACCACTCATCATTTGACAGATCTCAAACGACACATTCGAATCCACAGTGGTGAGAGACCATTCAGATGCCGTATTTGTGCCAAAACATTTACACACAAATCTCATTTCACCGCCCATTCACGCACTCACATCAAACAACTTCCATTTAATTGCGCACAATGTGGTCGAAGATTCGCCGATGAAAACGAGAAACAATCGCATGAGGATCATTGCAAACATCGACGATATGATTGTTATCTTTGCCCATACAAATGTTTTTACAAAACCAATTTGAAGCGGCACATGCAAGTGCATCACACTGGCGAGAAACAATTCAAATGTGGTGTTTGCGGAAAGAAATTCATTCGGAAATGCCATCTCAAAGGACATTTGGCCACACATTCCAAACAACAACCACCCCGTTGCTCCGAATGCTTTAAACCATTCACAAAAGAAACCGATAAGAATGCACATGAAGGACGTTGCAAACGACGCCTTCATCAGTGTTATTTGTGCAAAGTTTTAAAGCGCCAATCACAAGATTTAAAACGCCATATGCGAAACTATCACACAGGTGAATAGCCTTTTCCATGCGCCATATGTGATGCTCATTTTTCAATGCTTGGTGATGCCAAAAAGCACATGAAAAATTTGCACGGTTTGAAGAAATGATTGCGACTCTATTCAACTTTGATCATTTTATTTATTCGAATCCGCAACCAATTCCACTTCAGCGGTAAAATGAGCATTAAATTAAGACAGAAGTTTTTTAGAAGTTACGAAACTTCCATACTAAAAATTGACAAAAAAAAAATCAATCTATGTTTCTTTTCTTATTTTCCATAATAAAACCATTGAGTTGACACAATAAAGTGAAGATGTTTTTTTTTAAATCCAATATGTATAATATTCAAAATCAGGGTCAGCTGACGAAGAGCTACAAGTTATTTGAAACATTGATATATATATTGGTGACGTATGTGTTTGTTTTGATTTACATAATATGAAACATGTGTAAGAAAGCGTTTTGACGTCCTAATGCCAAGCAATCTGTTATTAACCACTTGTTTGATGTTTTTTGAATTCCTTTGTGTTACACGTGTACGCACATCAATTTAATTCAGATCACAATTTGGATCCAGAGACACATCTTGTCTGTGTTTACATTAATTAGGTTACCGTTCGAAAACAACTCAAGAAACAGACCCCGCTATAGATTTTCAAAATGCTGACAAAATAAAATGTCTTACATCCGTAAGATGAACTTTTCCGCACTGTGATCCACAACATGCATTTATTACATATCTTTTACTATAAATTTAAATTCACGAGAAAACTGAATCTGACAATAGTTTAGCGAAACAAATAATTTTTGACACACTTTTCATTCAAAAATGACTAAAAATGGGATTTTTGTATGGAATCAATGCCAATATGATATCATAACGACGTGAAACTTGGCACGAGGTATTTTTTTCACAAAAAGCTAACATTCTGAAAGTTTGAAGAAATTTCAATAGAATTGGGGGGTACCTTCCATACAACATTTTCGTTTTTGAGCAAAAAATCCAAAATTTTGTTCGGGAGGTACCCCTTATATGAATTGAAATTTCTTCAAACTATCAGAATAATATTTTATTGTGAAAAGAATAACCTGTGCAAAGTTTTAGCTCATTACGATATCATTCAGGCATGGCTTCCATACAAAACTCCATTTTTTTTTTTTTTGAAATTTTTGAATGAAAAGTGTGTCGAAATATATTTGTATCGCAAAACTAACGTCATATTCGGTTTTCTCGTATCCAAAAAATCCCCCAATACATATTTTTGAGTGAATCCTGTGAAGTCAGATTTTGAATTACTTTTCTTGGTTGAAAGTTGATGTGTTAACAAATTTTTGCGTACAGCGTACAGGGTACCACGCACATACATTAGGGTGGTTCGATTTTTATTTTTTGAGAATTTTAAAAACGGTTAGTGTCATATCGATAGAGGATGTCAATATAAGAAACTTTTGTTCTGACACTTTTTTTCCACGGAACCGTCTGTCATGCCACACTCAATTTTTAATATACGGTTTTAATTGCATGAAATCGAAATTTCTGTGAACAGTTATTATACATTTCTGAGGCCAGATTCAGACTCCTCGTGTAAAATTAGCCCGGATAGCACTATTTTTAACAACACATGTGACCGCTGTGTACCAAAATATGGACGTCAATCGAGCAATTTTGACGGTTTACCACAAGTGTACAACAGGGGCGTCGCCAAGAATTCGGTTGGGGGGGGGCAAGTCAGTTAAAAAACGAGGACATTTTTTTCAAAAAACGATGACATTTTTCAAAAAATCGATATATATATATATATTATAGATATAAAATACATATTATATTATGCATTTATGTTTTCTTATTTTAGCAATATTTTTCTTGTATCTGATGCGAACTTTTCCAAAACTTCGTTCAATATCTTGTTTTTATTTTCTTTTACAAGCTCGCGGTGAATGCTTAACATGCAAAGACCTGTAATGAATTAAACTTTAGAGTGTTATTCATATTTATTGTTACACAGTTAGCTACCTGTGAGACGGTTTGCGAGCATTGTTGTGCGGAGCCACGTTTTCACTCTTCTCAGTGTACTAAATGAACGTTCTATTGTACATGTGGTGCAAGGAAGGGCTAACGCTATCAATAGAACTTGTTTAATCGTAGGAAAAAAAGTGTTTGCTTCTCGAATAACATCGTACAATTCTAATTTTTCGAGTTTTTCACTGGTCAGCTTTTTTTCTTCCCACATTGTACGCCACAACTCTATTTCATTCTCCACATTCTCTACTCTGTAGAATTCAGCAAAATTATTTATACTTGAGATCATTTCATCGTTAGTCATTTTGAGCATGTTGGATGGATGTAGGCTTAACAGTGAGAATGCCGGAATATTTTCTTCTGGAAAACGGTATTTTATATTCGCTATAAGTGAATCGAGGTATGGTATTAATAGAGATATTTTCCAATAATCAGAGGGACTCGATGAGGGTTGGTTTAATTTTCAAATTAACGAGGCTAGACGATTATCGAATTTTCTATTCAATATTGAATCATCGCCGAAGGAAATTATATCTCACCTCCGATGACAACGAAAACATCAAACCTTTTCAAAAGTTCATTAAAATTCGAAAACATTCAAATTCAGTTTGTGAAAGTCAATGAATATCAACCGGCTAAGCCTATGAAGAGACAAAATGCGAATTCCCCTCATCTGTGCCATCTTGTATTCCATAGTTGAACTCAATTTAGTTACAATGAATTGAATCGAAAAAGAGAAAAAAAACAACAACAGTAACATGGCTACATAGATCTGTTGACCAGTGAGATACGTATAGCAATGGAATGAAAGAATGAAGAAAGCGTATATGTGTATGTATGCATCAGCACGCATAGATGTACAGCTCTGTGTGGCCGTGCTATTGTTGTTGTTTTTTCACTTTTTCATTTCAATGCTACAGAATTAAATTCAGTTTTTGCATCTAATTCACACTAAAATCAGATGGCGCTCATTAGCGAGATTCGCAAAAAAAAGTCTCCAATCTCATACAAATATACACCGGCTGATGAATATATGAAATAAATTGTGAAATAAAAAATTGTGTTTATTATTCTCAGTGTTCTTTTCAGCAATCTGATTGCTATTGAGTATGTTTGTATTAATGAGCTTTTTCGATATTTTCTATTTCCGTTTTCAAAGCTGTATATGTATTTTTCAACACTCCAATTGATCTGGAATTTTATCTATCCATATATACAAGATCAGAGCAGGCCAAGAAATTGAAACTTATTGATAATATTCAATGAGATAATAGAATATGTCATTGCATTAGCACTTATTTTTCATCATAAAAAAATTGTATACTTAATTTTGATAAAAAAAAATAACTTTGATAAGTCTACTGCAAACAAACCCAAAAAATAACAAATCCCTTACATCAGTTCGTTGGTAATAAAACAAACACATATGTGAAGAAAGAAAACAACCGATTCATCTATAAATGCAAAGAGTTGGCTATCGCTTTCAATTGTGATGTTTATGCCTCATATAAACAAAACAATGTAAGTTTTATACTTTGCTTTGTCGCTGTTTTGAGACGTTAGTTTGATAAATTCAGTAACAAATGTTTATATAATTACAAACAGACTCTAAATGATCCAACGAACTGATGTCATCGATTTTTCAAAAAAAAAAATGAGTAAAATTTGAAATGTGAAATAGCTCTTTCGATTATTAGTTCATCGGTTCTCTAAAAATTTTTTTTTGATGTCTGGCATTTTAAAAATCGAGGACAATTTGCTCAGGGGGGGGGGGCGGCCGCCCCCCCCTGCCCCCCTCTGGCGACGCCCTTGGCGTACAAAGTTTCTTATCTTGACATCTTCTATCGATATGACACTAACCGTTTTTAAAATTCTCAAAAAATAAAAATCGACCCACCTAACATAGATTCGGACATCGAAAAAACGACTGATTCGTGTCCCTGGCTCCTAAAACACCCAGAAAACTTTTTTTGGAGGTGTTAATTTTTCGACTGATTCCAATACTTTACCGTACACACTAGGTGTGTGCGGAAAAGTAAAATGCCCCAATGTCACCATGGAAAATTTTTCACAAAAAAGTTTAAAACAGACGCTTTTCTGCCAAGCGTATTGTTTCAAAAGTGACGTGCGTCAATAGTAGTGACGCCTGTGTAAATTCATTTACAAATATTTATTTAGCTACAATGGAATTTCATTAAGTTTAAGAAAACAAAACTAAGTGCGTTTTAAAAGGAAATTCCATGACCAAATGCGGGTATATAAGCATCTGCTTGGCCACGCGTTTCCAGTAACAATTCTATTTCAATAGAATACAAAGCGAATCGCGAGAATCAGCAACAATGAAGACATTTTCATTTCTAACATTTGTGTCTTTCTTGATATCAAGCCAGGTGAGAACTTATTAAAAAAAACTAAATAGAATAGCATTTCAAACTTTTACTTTTCCGCACATCTAGTGCGCGAAAGATATTTAATTATTAGTGAATCAATAAATTTTCAAAATAATATTTCTAATTTTTTACTGTTTTTCCTCGATAGATCTGTGTCGAAGCGGCTACCTATGCTGACCTCTTAAATACACTTCATCAAAAGGCTGGAGTGGATATGGGATTATCGCCGATATTTGAGTTGTTTAATGAAACTTCAAATGTTCCAACCTTAGTGCGCCTCTTGCAAAATGTGGAACGCAATAATAATAAACTAAGTACTCTACATAATCCAACAAATGATGCATATCTTGGTAGCCTTATATTCCAACGTGGCCTGATCGCCGGTTTTTGCCAAATCATAGGAGGGTTTATCCCGTCGTTTATTTCAGTGAATCTTGACGCTCCAACTCAAGACATCTACAACCAATGGAAAAGACCAAGTGTTCTCTTGAATATGGAACACATGCAAACAATTATTAATAACTACAATCATATGAAACAAACACAAGAAACATATGCCCAACTTATTGTTAATGAAATGCTTGCGCTCGGTAATGTAAGGAAAACATTTAAAGAAAACACAGATACTATTGCCACCTGGTTTCCTGCTCTCAGTACAAATGATTTGAGCAAAAATAGTGTAAAGACTATTATGAATAATTACGCAGTAATTCAACAAACTGTCAATACACACCTCACGAACGTAAATACCTACTTAATCGATTTCTGGTCCAAACGAGATAACTGGGCAAGATTCATAATGGGCAAAGATATTGATTGGAACGAAAATTAAGTCGAAATTAACAAAATATTGTCGTGGTTTTATTCGCTAAATTCATCATCGGTTTTATATTAAATTATATTAAATTATAATTCTGTATTTGAATAAAGTTTACGAACGACATTCGCGACAAAAAGGTGTTTTTATTTGTTTATTCACTTGTTTTATGAAGTTTGACTTAGCCAGGTAGGTGTAGAAAGATCAGTTACATTCATTTTCACGCTTCAAAATTGCGAAGTCGTGTTATTGTACAAATGATGTTTCATGACTGTTTGGAAAAAAAATTGTAGTTATTTTCCATTATTTTCAAATGACTTGTATTAAATGTTTATTCAAACGAAACATATTTGCAGGCTTTTTTGCTTCAATAGTTCCATTGAATCAATACCATACTTGCGTAAAGTTTGAAATTAGTTTAGGGAGGGAGTCAGGTGTAGGGTTCGCCATGATAAAAAATTTGACGGGAGCTCATATTTGGGGGGTTTACAAAAATAATGATGAGTAGTAGTTACCTTTTTGATGAATGCGGTTCTAAAGTTCAAGATCCTACATGTATGTTCAATACCTCTCTGAAATATCGCAGCTCTATGAACTATGTCACTGATACCTCTGAAATTGGTGTAATTTAATTTAACGATTCCTTTGAATAATCAAAATCAGTCATCATAAATCACATGCGTCTTTTTATTATTTATGGCATACTTCAACGACAACAATAATCTTTGAAAAACAAACCGCCTTTGATTGACTCACACCTCATCCTTATCACACATAATTTATATCTTATCACAATTTATTGGAATTCAGGGTAAATAACTCTTTCATTAAGTCGAATTTACAACAATAAATCTTTTGGATGGAAATAAAGCATTCACAAACTGTTCTCAAGTATAAAAATCCCAAATTTGAATATAGAATGAAATAAAACGTCAACTATTTTGTATTTATCGAATTTTGTTCGTCTGTATTTCCTCTGCTCGTCTTAAAATCCGAGCAACATTTTGCAAGCCATACTTAAGAGCAATTTCACGCGGTGTTCTTCCGAAGCTATCTCGGACTTTTACATCGGCACCATTTTGAATTAATTTATTTATTAAATCAATATTCCCTAAAATCGAAGAACGAATGAAAACCATGCACAATATTAGCACTCTAGAAATTACCATTGTTTAACGTCGCAAAATGCGACAGTGTCACTGCAATATGAATAGGCGTTGATTCAGTATTATCCTTTTGGTTTAGATTTGCTCCATATTGCATGAGAATATCAATAACTTCTTCATAATCTAAAATCAAAGCAAACGATGATTTCAAATTCGATTTGCAATAAAAGTGATCGACAATTTACGTTTTCCAACCGAAAAGTACTTGACAGCAAAATGGAGAGGGCTCCAGTTATCTTGGTCGCGAGCATTTACATTGGCACCATTGTCTAGTAGTACTTTAACAACCACTCTACCTGGAAATTGGGACATTTTAAATAAATAATGAAAATGTTTAGAATCTTTCATCATGACATTTATCCAATTTGCATCCAAAAATATGAAAAGGCCAGAGTTTGGAAAAAAAATCAAAAGAAAGTCTTTAATACTACCATTCTTGGCAGCCAGGTGTATAGCCTGTCTCTTTCTCCAGTCACTATCATTAACATTCGCTCCATGTTCAATGAGTACTTTTACCATTTCCACGTGCCCCCGTTCCGCTGCATAATGCATCTAAAATAGAACCGAATATGTTTTAGTCGAAAATGTTCGTTTGTTTCATTAAATGGGAAAAAATTACTGGCGTTTTGTATTCGTGGTCTTTGGCATTGATATTGGCACCATTATCCAAGAGGAAGAGAACAGCATCTACTCGGTCTGGGAATTGAAGTTTGTTTAAGTTCCGGTATGTTCCGTTAAATTTTCGAAAATTGAAAGAATTACCGTGTTCGGCTGCGTAATGAATCGCGCTACGATCCCAGAACGAATTGACTTTCGCACCATTATCAAAAAGAACCTTCATGATGGCCACATTGCCTGTGACAAAATGATGTCAACAATGTTTTCTCTTCAGATAAATTTTTCAACAAATTACAATACCAATTTCAGAAGCTAGATTTAACGGTTTGAATTGTCGTAAACCATCGACGTCTTCGATACAATTTTTAATCAAAAGTTCAGCCCCATTTACATCTTCTGGAAAAGTTTGATTTGATGTAAGGGGAGTCAATATTTTCCAATAATGAAATGTTACCGTTTTTAATTGCTTTCTCGAGATTATCCGTGTCCACAGTTATCCAGTCAGTGCGTGCATATGGTTTTAAACGAACACCTTTTTCATATAACATATTGATCACTTGGACACTAGCTGCAATTCAATTGAGTGAGAAATTCGATGAGTTTTACTCCACACAGCGAGTGGAAAGGTCTTAAGAAATAGATTTTACCATCTCGTGCAATGCAACTGAATATATCCGAATTCCATTTTCCAAGATCGATGTCAACATCGGCTCCACTTTCAATAAGGCTCGTTATTATTCCTGTGTGACCTGAATCATTTTTGGACTCTTAACTTTGTGTCAAAGTGTTTTAATGGAAATCAAACCAATTACCATTTTTGATGGCTATTTTTAATGGCGAATCGCCAATTCCGTCTGTGATATTAACATTTGCACCGTTTTTTATCAGCATGTCAACAATATTCTCGAGATCTGTATTCATCAAATTGTTGTCGTATCACATGGTTCCATTATGACAGATTCCAGCAAATTTTCATATAAAAAGAGGGAAAAAAATTCAGTAAAATTCTTGAAAACAAATCAGATGAGGTAAGAATCATACTTTTTTCAACGGCAATATGAAGTGCCGCTTTTTTATCACTGTTTTTTATTTCCAAATCAGTTCCGTTCCTTGCCAGAAGTCGAACCATTTTTTCTTGGTCTAAAACAATGTTTTTCGCTTGGTAGCTTCACATTATGATTAAGATTCGTAATTTAAATTACTTACCATTCTTCAAGGCGATGATTGTGGCAGTTTCATTGTATTTATTTTTTCGATTCACATCTGCTCCGTAGCGAAGTAAAAGTTCAACCACTTGATCATAACCTGCGCAAACGATTTGTTTCAAACATTTTCTTTAACCAATTGTTGGTTGAAATTGTTTTTAATTTTGAGAGCTATCTCGATTGTACTGAACACAAATTGACGTCTCTTCATAAAAAACTGAAAATCTACCCAATTTATATCAAATTAAAAGAATACAAATCACCGTTCATAGTTGCAATCATTAAACCAGTGTTTCTGTCAATATTTATGGCATTTATCTTCGCTCCATGTCTCAAAAGACTTTCAACAATTTTAACGTCGCCCAAAGCTGCAGCTAGCATCAACGGTGACCATCCATTTTGGTCGTTCACATTTACGCTTGCATTATTCTTAAGCAAAGCATCGATGATGTGGGTTAGCCCTATATATTTTACGAATTTATTAAGCATTTTTAACGTTATTTTAGTTTACATTTATATCGTCGACAGGGCTGTTATAGGCACCGCATAGCAAATTGATTTGATTACCATTTTTCACCGCATAAAATAGCGGCAGGTGTCCAAGCCACAACGATCTTCGACTTATGCTTGCATCATTTTCATCGGAAGTTTCAGCAACTGTTTCATGGCCAGGATAAAAGAAGTGAAACGAATGACTTTGATGATTCTCTTTATCGATTCGTACAGCGAGGTGGCGAAGATTATTGTTGCTCACGTCCGTTCTAAAAAAATATGTATCGAATGTGTATAATGCCAGTTTTTGTTTGTGAATCTTACATACTTACTCATTCTTCATGTGATCATCGTCTAGAAGAAAGGAAGTATTTCATTATCAATGATAAAACTAGTTTCAAAATTTAAAGTTGGTTAATTATGTGCTTACCAGCAAAAATGGTCCCTAGAAAACAACAAACATAAATGTAGACGATTTTATTTAATGCCACCATTTTTTCTTCAAATAAATAAGAGTGGCTCAAACAAATTTGTGTTTTCTAAACAACTTATATTCGATTAAAAAATTGAGAACCAATCACGACCAAGTCAAAATTTCAACTAAATTGTTACGAATTCAGTTCATTTGTTTTGCAAACCATACATTTCCGGTCCACATTTATATCGTCGTTTTTATCGCACAATTTCGCTCGCGTCGAATTTAAGTCAAGACCTTGAGCTCTTCCTTTTGATTAAGATATGAAAAACGCATTCACATAGTACTTTGCACAAAATTATAACTTAATTCATCTTTTCAGTACATAAATGTATTCTTTTCAGTTCAATTCAAGTACCAAAAAATGTGTGCTTTTTGGATTTATTTACATAGCAATTTTGACTAGGGTGTATCGATAATAGAAGAAGTGGAAATATTTTGGACCTTGTAAGCTTAGGGGTTCAAAATGATATTTTTTTGGGGAAAAAGAAGAAAGTACCTAGACAGTTTTCAGTGAATTTTAATAAAAATTTACGAAGAATCGCTATTTAAACATTAACCGACCTTAACTTGTGTTATATAAATATGAATTTTATCTGAAGTCATCTAGTGTCTGTGGTTGTCATTATAATGACATTAATAATAATTATTATTGAAGTTCCCAGCATCGGTCTGAAACGACTTTTCTATCAATTGGTGTTATATTAAGCAGAAATGCATTGGGACGTGAAATTCGGTTTGAGACCTGACTGAGTAATTTCCATGTTAGCCCCAAGTTGGGGCCTCCAACCCAACTAATTTTTTTTCCACGAAACCTAAGATTTCCCACTCGGGCACTTGGTATTTATTGAATTTTCGGGTCTAAGGCCCTATATTTTTTTAAGAAAAAGGGTCGGGCTCGGACGTACGGGTTGACGACCCGCTGAGACCTCTGGTATTAAGTTAATTCTAATTTTTCAGAGAAACAAAACAGACATTGCCTGGAATGTCGTTGTTTTCAAAAACGTTTTATGCATTTTTATATTATTATTATTTTTATGAATTTTTTATTATCTTCTTTGTTATTAATTTATATTATTCTTATAAGCAAACAGTTGGTGACCGACATTTGAATGTTGGTGTTTTACTATGCACGAGCAAATTGGAAATCATTGGATAAATATTCGAACATGCGTCATCAAATTCTGTTTTTTTAAAAAAATGACGATGAAAAAATATTAGCTAAAACCCAGTCGAAGGCACCAGTTTATTTCACTTTCATATGTCGATTAAAACGACAGATTAGTTATTTAACCATTTGTCCCCAATTTTCATTGAATAATGGAACGTTATTTTGCTCTACTCATAATTGGTTGCTTCGTGCCGAATATTTTCAGTGCTCCTCGAATCAAAGAAAATATTACAAATGCGGTGAAAAGAGTTAATATGGCAGCGGAATTGGGAGCAAATTTGATGTTAGAATGTCCTGAGGTTCCGTTTGAAACTAAGTTGGCCGTCAGTCTAGGAAAAGCGTAATAATTGAAAAATATATTGAAAATTTTATCTCATTAAAAAAAATGATTTCAGTGCTGTATACGGGGCGTCGAAGTTTCAAAAGACAGGATGTTTGAAAGACGCAACCAAAATGGTTGTGGGTACATTGTGCATTGACGGCATTGCAAGCATTGACAGGTTTGTGATTTTAACTCTCTCTTTGACACGAAACAATGACTGTATAAATATTTTATTACGTGTTATTTTATTAAGTGCCAACGCTGCCATTGATTCTATTGCTTTGGAACACCCTAGAAGCGAGGCTAGTTTAGACAATATTATCCATGAGATTACTAAAGGGTAATATTTTGAATTTTTTTGGATTTGAATCAAAAAGTAAATATCTTTTTCTTTAGAAAAACCAAGAAAAGCGCAAAAAGAAACAAATTGAGAAATGTACCTTTGGAGGGTATAATAATCGATGATGGAAGAGATAAGGATACCACTTTACGTCAGATAAAAATTGAATAGATCCGATAGCAGAAGAAACACGAAGGGTGAGTCAACTTCGAAAACAGAAAAATTTATCAAAAAATTGCGTTATTTTAGTGACACATTATCCTTTTACATAGGAGAATATCGACAACATCGTCATGACTTTTTCTATCAAATCATGTCTCTAACAAATGAAAACCATCGCAAATGAGCTTAATTACAATCTCCAGCAGAAATATATCACTGAAAAACAACTACAAATTTTCATTACTTGTTGTTTTGCTATTATTTTTTCAGAGTCAAAACTAAAATAAAATGTCTTACATCCGTAAGATGAACTTTTTCGCACTGTGATCCACAATATGCATTTATTACGTATCTTTTACCGTAAATATGAATTCATGAGAATATCGTAACCATGTGAAAATGTTAGAGTGAATTCTACTGCTGATATTCGCCTAAGCAGCGAAAATGTGCCGAGTGTACATGAATTCTTCTAATGCAGGTAGTAAAAGTCGTATTGGCTTTAAACGAGACGTTCACAGAGAAAAAATTTACACGAATACACTTACAGGTTCTGTATAATTTTTGACATTTTACGTATTGTGTATAATCAACAGAGATATTGTACACTGTCTGTATAATTCATCTGTCAACTCATCTGGCAACATTTTAGATGCGCTGACATATAAATCAATAGCGAATTATACAGACAGTGTACAATATCTCTGTTGATTACACAGAATACGTAAAATGTCAAAAATTATACAGATCCTGTAAGTGTATTCGTGTAAATTTTCTCTGTGTGTTTGTGTAATAAATTGACCTTGTTTCATAGCCACCACTGAAAAAATGTATAGCGATCCAATGCTTTCCATATGAACCGACGTCACCGATGGTACGCAATTTTCTATACATTTGGACATATTTGGCTATTATGGCGCTTCAGGAACTTTCTATTCAGTTTTTTAATTTTTTATTCCAAAAACAAGTTTACTCTGCAATTCCTAGAAAACACGAAATATATCATATGTACACCGTGTTTTGAGAAACTTTTTAATAAAACATTTTTTCAAAAGCAAAAATATGGGTTTCCATTATTTCTGTGTTTTCAAATTTAACATCTGTTTATAACATAGTTTTGTGAAATTAAACAAAAAATAATCGTTTATTGGCGTTCTATATCTTATTCGATGAATAAATACAAAAAATTTGTTACAAATGTGTCTCATTTATGTTTCTCTCTTTCAATTTTTCATTCTATCAAAACATTTATAAATTAACATTCAAAACTGATCTAATGGCTAAAAACACAGATATCAATGCTAATGTCGCAGAGCTGCTCGTTACTTCAGAGTAACTGTAACCATAACTATCATCTTCATCAGGCTGGCTGATTGCATATGGCTTTGGAAATGGTGAAAATTCATATTCTGGCAAAACTTTTGTTGCTACAATTTCATCGATCCAAGCATTGTACATTGAGACGTCAGCGTAGATGCCTGAAACGAAACGAGTTTAAAACAACAAAGCCGTATAAGTATAAGGTCATAAATGTGTCACCTGGAAATTCGGGCAAACCGCATTCATTCCCAAACGAAACGACGCCGGATATTTCTTGCAATCCACCGCATGTTATTAAACCGCCCGAATCACCCTGAAATTGGAAAAAATATTTTCAAAATTTTGGAGTCTCTTTGAGTCGTTTTTTTTTAAACAGTCATCCGAATGCTACCAGCAGCTAAAACCTACCAGACATGCATCATGACCACCTAAAAAGTAAAATTCCGTTTAAAAAAATTTCAAGGCGAAATACTTGTAATCGCGATCCAGTTTACCTTCACGCAGTCTTCCCGCACAAAACATGCCTGGTTTCATGGCACCTTCATACGAATCTGAGCTATTACAATAGTTGATGTCAGCAACAAAAACATCCGTTTTCAGTAGATTGTATGAAATGTCACCATCTTGGCCCTATCAGAGGCAAATCCGAATGTGAAAACTAAGTTAAATGATAGAGTGTCAGAGTCTTACATTTGTGGTATACCCCCATCCGACGACTGTACAACGTGTTTCAATTGTTGGTGTTGCTTCTGAACGGCGCTTTGGACCAAACGTTTTTGTAACATTGAATGGATTGTCTACCTGATTATACAAAAATAAAGACATTTACAAAATAATTTCGATCTTCATCTCATCAGATAAACTTAGTTCAAGTGATATAAACGTAAATTTGTGATTATTTTTGGTGAATTAAGAAAAATATTCGCGGTTTATGTCGTCAACCGACAGGCACGAGAAACAAAAATCCAAAAATAGCCATATTCCATTGTGCTTGATCAATTATTTTGATTAAATAGACATTTGCACTCGAAAGATTAACACAAAAAACATTTCATGAACGTACTCTTATAACGGCGATATCATTTTGGAATGTGTCTCTCGAAAATTCTGGATGTGGCACGAAATGCATGACTTTTCGTCGTTGCCGCGTTTCCGATCCATTGAACGTAACCATTAGATCATCTCCCATCACATAACCCTTTTGTGTGGAAAATTCCAAAGTTTCAATAGTAATAAATGATCCATCGTGGACGAACATGATTTGTGAATTTACTTACAATTCGCTTTTGCGGTTGATGGCAGTGTGCAGCGGTAACAATGTGAACTGGATCTATGATGACGCCTGCACAAATGTGCGCAAAAAATCGATTTTGTAGCGATACCTGCGAAGAAAGACACAAAATCAATATTTTATCAAATACTTTCCCTGCTAGGTGGCTGCTGAAAAGTAACATCGAACAATTTCTAGCGAATTCTGATAGCCACCGAAAATTTAATTTTGTTCACATTCATCAGATTGACCCACCTGTGCTCGAAACTCCCCTTTGTCAGCCGGTTTACCGCCAATAATTCGAAACTCACCGTTCACGCCATATTTAACGAATTTGGGAGAATACATCCATGCTTCCGAATACGAAATCAAACACACTGAAAATGGATGTGCCCAAATGGGAATCGGTCACAGATTCAAGAAAAAATTGACATGCTTCAATTACAATCACATGTAATCATTTATTTTTTTGACGATAATTTGTTCAAATTATTCATAGTAAATAATTCTGTGGAATGTGTCGAGAATGAACAAACAAATTGATTTCTTTTTCACTTTATTGCACTCACCATAAAAGGCCAATAAATATAATGAAATTGAACTCATATTTTTTCAGCACACTATGACTCACATCAAAAATTCTACACAATAAAACGTTGGTTTGGTAACAATGCATTCATTTGCAAATTGATTGAAACTAAATAAATCGACACACAAAAACTCGATTTCTCTCTATTATGAATTAAACTTATGAGAACTCGGAAAGAATGATATTAAAAAAACAAATGTAAAAGTGGCAACGCATACTATGTTTGTGGTGTATGAACCCAAACGTTTGGCACGCTACTAAACTCAACGATTTTTCCATTATAGCCGTTGAATTGCAGTCACGTCTTTTGGAAAGATAAGCGAGCTATGTCGGCTTCTTTCATGATTAATAAACGACATCATAATCGATAAATTTACACACCAAATGTGATTAAAGTACGCATTTTACAAGTGCAATTAGCACATCGTTACTATTGTTGACAATAATTTTTGTGTGGTTTGATATAGCACTGTCATTTGCGTCTAGAGTCATTTTATAGATCGCAAACGACACGCGGAACTATTCAGCGTGGTCTGATATCACAAATCAATCCATCACATTTTTATCGCTCAACATGTCTTTTTTTGGACTGCATCACAACAGGTCTATCTATGTGATAAAAATAAAATACGTTGATAAAACGTTTGGATAATCGTGATAATAGATAAGATTTCACCGCTTTGAATCATTAAACAACACCAGCCGGCGCGTTATTGGATTACATGAGTTTTGTTATTTAACACAGTTATGCAAACAATAGTCAACTATAGTTTCAGGGCATACTTGAAAATGACGCAAAATTGTAAATAAACATTGGAATTTTCATTAATTTTAGGTCAAAATAGAAACAAAAATAAATCGGATTCAGTTTTTTGAATTTTGAACTCAATTGGATAGTTTGCTTAGATTTATTATAAAGCCTTCAATGCACGTACTGAAATTTTACCTAGGGGGAATTATCTATATGTTTACGTATACGGTTTATACGCAAGTATTTTTTACTGAATATACTACAAATAGATGAAGACATCGCAAGTATGCCGCTTATACGCTGCATATTTGCGTATAAACCACATATATACGGAGTTATTTGCAAATATTCTTCCGTATATGCGGTTTATATTCTTATACGCAGCATATTCGTAACTTATTTTATTCGATATTTTCCCCTAGAATTTTACATATTTGCCGTTCTTATTTAGTTGAGATCATTTTGGAGAAAGATAATCTTTAACGCAAAATCGTTTTCACACCTAGTAATTTATATGAAGCCATTAAATGTTCTCATTGAAAAGTTCTCGAACGCCCTTCAAGTATGTTCGAACCCATGGCCTGGAAACGCCTATGTAATTTACTTATAAACGAGTGAGACTCAAAAATGTGCTTCTTCTTCAATTAATACATTCTCACTAACTCACAAACATCAAAAGTATACGCCATAACAGCAGTGTAAACGTAAATACATGCGCGCGCTACTCAGCTTCGTTTCTGTGATGAATACTAATTGACTTCTGCTGTACATAAGATGCTTGTGTATGTATTGAAGAAGAAGCACATTGTTTGTCTCACTCATCTCCGCCCCTTGCTCGAACCTGTTGAAACCTATGGCATACTATGGTGCCATGGCCTACGGTGCCATGGTCTATGGTGTCTCCATCAAAATTCCATAACATTGACGGGCTAATGGACGGAACGAGAACCATTGACGAGATAGTCAATTTAAAACAAAGCTCAGCGCTATCACACATCTAAGTCTATTCTTATCACATTTTTCAAGTTTTTGTTAGAAAAATCAAAATGAAGACAATTGCCAGAAAAGAATATGATAAAAATTGAAGCAGATAATAAACGAAAATTAGATGAAATAAAACATAATCTTTTATTTGATGAAATTCTATTTATAATTTATTTATTTTCAAAATTAAAATTTCGTTTTTTACAATATTGACTGCGAAAAAATGTTATAAAAAGTTTTATGAATTTTTTGAAGCTGTTTTTCCTTTAAAACTAGACCGATTAAAACGAATTTAATATAAATGGTCTTCTCGTATGTCTGACGGAGTTGAAAGCAGGTAATTTGAGTTGCCGCTCCTAGAAATATAACTAAATATTTCATTCTTTCGGCTTTCGTTGTGGTTTCCATCTCTTTAATCGATTTCTCGCCAAATTTCATCATGAAGTTTAGACTTTTCAAAAATCACACGTGTAATCGAGTCGCTGTCAAACTGTGCATTTGTTCTAAAGCTAATTTTCAGGTCGCCCTTTTGAATTCGATTCCTAAGCTTTGGTTGCATGACACTTTCATTCGAAAAATCGATGCAATCTGTTGGCCACGTATAAACGTTGATAAAATGTAATTTTTCAGCCGCGATAATCACAGGTTGTGGCAAAATAATATGAAGTTCATCGCATCCTTTCACAATGGTAGCCAGTCCCGATATCAATTTCGTCGAATACTCCAAACACTTCATGCTTACATCGTAGCAAATCTCACTGTCATACTTTGCTGTACCGTACAATTTGGCTGAAAATTCTTTCATCAACACTTGTTTATTGGTCGAAAAAGCTGTAAATATATCGCTGCCAAAATTGTAGCTCAAATCCTCTGTTTCCGGCATTTGACGATCGCACTCGAAAATAGTTTCAAATGACGATACTTCTTCTTCAACAGGGACTCCCAAGATTTTATTGTTGATAATATTTATTTCATCGTCTGTCAACATCTTTTTGCACAAAATATTGAATCTTACAAATTGCTCCAGCGTCATTCGCTCAAATGGGATGCGACTGAACGCGTCATCCAGTGACATTCGTAGATTTTTCGGTGTTCGAAGTATTTTGGCGCGCGCGCATTCGGCTTTAGACCACTTCATGCACGCCATTACAATTTGCTCTGCATCACATTCCAACAGTAGCAAGTCAAGAATTTTGTTCAACACATTGTAAGAGCATTGGATGAAGCTTTCTGATTCAAATATTTCGATGGGATTTTGCTTGATTCTTTCTTCGCAATACTGGATTAGGGTTGGTTCTTCAAGCGCCAATGCAATTTCATAGCCCCAACACATATCGTCGATTACTAATGTGCCCCGCAATGAATTCGCACACGATGTTATCGAATCGTGGAGTTTGAATTTTTTACACAGTTTCACCACTTCGGCTATGTTTTTTGGCGTTAAGCGCACCTCATCCAGATAGAAAAATTGCAAAAATTCTTTGAATGCAGAAGCTGAGACATCGTCTATGGGAATTTTATCAGTTTCAAGTTTTAAAGGACCATTGAACATGGAATCGAATACGGAACTACCACATGACAATATGAATTTATGCGCTGGAACCTCAATAGGACCGCCCGTATTGGTGATGAATTCAAATTTTATATCCGTCATCGTTGAATTTAAATAGAGCCTCTCACAAATGTGACGCGATAAATTATTTTCACAATCCAAATATAGGCCAAACATTTTTGATATATTAAAATCGAACAGATCTACGCAAAGAGAAAGTCTCTTCCCGAATTATTTACTTTTTTGATTTGATCCCGTGGGAAATACTTCGTTGCACTGAATAAACTAAAAAACCTGTCAAACTAATTTTATTCTGAGTTTTAAAGTACCTTTTGGTCGAAAAAGCATTCGAGCTTTATTCGTTGATCGCAAAAGTTACACTGAAGGGAATAGTGAAATGCCATTAGGAGAAAAGCAGGGTTATTTGGAAGACCTGTTGGTTTGGGTCAATATTCAAAATGAAGGAAATGATCATTAGTCACCCCACACCATATGCATTTTCAAAAATCTACAATTTGTTACCTGCTGGTAGATAGGTAACGCCCCTTTCTTGTACTTCAAATGAAAATATTGCAAATTTTGCACTCTAAATTACATTTTACAACATCCTAATTAAACACTTCCTAATGGCCAGTAATGACGATACAGGTAAAAATCCTTAAGAGCTCATTGGTCAAGTACCAATTAGATAGGATACCAATTAGGTCTAATGTCATTTTAACTAATTACTCACTAAGTGTCTTACCTACAAGCAATCCGAAATCCGCAATCTATATAAAGGGTATACCACTAAATTATCCTTTAGTTTTAAATCTGATTTCAACAGAGCAACAGCAAAATCAATTGTCGCAAGTTCAAAAAAAATCGAAACGAAGACAACCAAAATGGATAAATTTATTTGTGAAAGTGATAAACTTGCAACCGGATTCTCAAGATCTTTGGTCGATCTAGACAGAGACAATCGGCCGAGTACATCAAAGGAATCGAAGCCACAAATCGAACAGCTTGATGAATTAGAAAAAGTAAAATTGCAAATAAAAGCGAAAGAACAAGAAATAGAAACACTCGAGCTATCATTATCATCACATCATTATTATCATTATCATAATTCAGCTGCTCCAATCGCCAGTGTTTCACCGGATACTTACACGCCAACTCCCATCAAACCCATTGAATTTGAAGTTATTCACGTACCAGGAAATAATTCGAAAACTTGCAGTATGGCCGTGTCCGGTAAACGAAGTAATTACTTTAGCGAAAGTGACCAAAGTGACGACACATTCAGATCAAGCAGTGAGGATGAAAATATGCCACCGAATAAGCGGCAATGCCAAGCTCAAGGGAAATGGTCATTGGCACCGCAGAAAGAACGTCGACGCAAAACCAGATGGGGTCCCCCGTTGGAAGATCAAGTGAAACAACCGGCATTGCCGATGCCTTCCGTGAGCCGGTGTAAAATTGTAGCATCGCCTGCGCCATCGAATAGTCCAGCAGTGGATATAAATGATCTCTATCAGGAATTATTGAAATCTGGAATTTTGGAACAGGCGAAAAAGGAGAGAAAAGAAGAGAAGAAGGAAGAAAAGAAAGAAGGACCAACGCCGGTGTCATTGAACAATCGGAAATCGCTGCAGAAACGACAGCCGGCCATTATAAATGCCTTGTATGCTGGTAAACAGTGCAGCAATTGCGGTTTTCGCTTTCCATCGGATGAAAGCAAGAAATATGCTGATCATTTGGACTGGCACGCCAGAATAAATCGGCGCAACCGTGAAAGTAAAAGATCGCTACAGTTACGACAGTGGTATTTTCCGCAAAATGATTGGATGAACTACCAAGAACTAGAAAGTGTTGAAGAACGTGAAAAAAGTTGGTTTGAAAAGGAACAAGAGCGATCGGCAGACGAAAAATTAAATCAGCGATCAGCTCCAGATCAACCGAGCTGTGCTGCACCATGTGGTGGAAATAACACCACTTGCTGCATATGTACCGATTCATTTGACGAATTGTATGACGATGGTGAGGATGAATGGCGTCTGAAAAATGCCATTTGCGTTGAAGACAACTTCTATCATCCCATTTGCTATGAAGATCACAAGAAACATGCAGCTGATCTATCATTTGTATAAAAAGATGATCCAATTGAAGACGGTGTATTTCTGTAACTATAAGGATGGCAACCGAACATTTAAACAAACGAAACATAAACAACATAATTCAAATAAATCATGCCTAATTGTAAGCTAGTTAAAATAAATAATAGGAATAAAAATGTAAATGGAAACAATAGAAATTTCAAAATAAAAAAAAAATACACAAAAATAATCTGTTTTAAATTGTTTTTTTGTCAGCACTCATTTCTTTTTAGCACAAGTAATTTAACAGATTTTTGCGTACAGCGTAATACGGACATCGAAAAACGCTAGATTCGTTTTCCCTGACCCCAAAAACACCCAGAAAATACATTTTTGATGGGCGTTAATTTTTCGACCGATTCCAATACTTTACCTTACACACTAGGTGTGTGTGCGGAAAAGTAAAACATAGAAATGGCATTGATGTCTCTCACTGGCGGGGAGATATTGACTGGCAAAAAGTAAAAGGTGCTGGCATCAGTTCTGCTATAGCAAAACTTACTGGCGGAAATGATTTTAAAGATCCGAAATTAACGGCAAATTGGGCCGGAATGAAACAGAATGGTATCCAAGCGGCAGTGTACCACTTTTTCAAAGGTGATCAAACTCCAGAATCTCCAATAGAACGATTGATGTCGAAGAAAAACCAAATGAAAATTTTGCACCCGAGCAAATGGCCGATACGTTACATGGTTAGATAGTTGGCCTGAATAAAACAATGAATAGTTTATATATTGGGAGGAAAAGTAGGCATGGGAAAAGTATGATTTTAGCCCATATAAATTATGGATAGCACACTATACACAGAATAGTTCACCAAGGGTGCCAACCACTTGGAAAGATAAAGGATGAGTTTGGTGGCAACATTCGAGCAAAGGCACAGTCGACGGCATTTTAGGTGATGTTTTGGCATTTTAGGCCATTGATGGGAAAATGTAATTAACACCAAGTCGACATTTTATCAATATACTCGTACATAGATGTTAGTTTTATAAACTATTTGGTTTTTCTATATATTTTTTAAGCATCATTCAATCTCATTGTTGAAGATAATAAACATTCATTCTGTCACTACATGAAAAACGTAAACTTTTTTTAAGCTATTTAAATTTGTATTTCAGCGATTTCAAATTATATGAAACTCTTTAGTTCCAACCTAGGGGATGGAAACCATTAGCTAGTTTTTTATATTTCAAGTAAAAACTAGGAAAATTAGAAAAAAACTAGCAAAAACTAGAAAAATTAGCAAAAATTATTTGATCCGCCATTTTGATATTCTGCCATGCAGTGATGAGCACATTAGCTGGCTAATTTGCCATCACTGTGTACACCGGCTAACGAATGCGTAAGCCAGCACTAACACACGTCAGGAGAATTGGACGTTTTCACACGCATACTATCATACACAGTCACACAGACAGTGTAGACAGTTAGCTGGCTAACGATTGGTGTACACCAAATGTTGGTATACACCGAGGCTAAGACAACGCTGGCTAACGCAAAACCATCACTGCTGCCATGATTTGGTGACTAATAAAATTTTACAAGTCGACTATTGAAAGAAACAAGTACTTTATGCACGATTTTGTGTTAAAAAAGAATAATTAAACTAATTTTCACTATTATAAGTGTATATTTATTCAAAACACATAAAAATATGTCTGAACAACAAAACGTCAAAATACTTCATTGTGTCAGTAGAATCATTTGATTGTCATTTGACAGAACAAAAAACTAGAAAACTAGCAATTTCGTAAAGGAATATTAGCATTATTAGATTATTCAAGCAATAAACTAGTAAATTAGCTATAAACGAGAAAAACTAGCATTGGTTTCTCTCCCCTAGGTTCCAACTCTTTCCTTCTGAATAAATTACCTACATTTGATAAATGAATTTCCGAGCTATCTACCGCGACTAACAGGTGCATGGAACAAGGTCTTATTTAAAGCGTCTCTTTTATTATCATATTTTCTGTTCTTTACCTTCTTTATGTTAATATTTAGATTCCATTGTTCAAAAATCTTTTTATGACCTGCTATAGCAGCTATAGCTGCCATAAAATATCTTTTCATGGCTATTTATTGAAATTCGTAAAATCCGTTAATGAGGACATTGAACAGATAATTTGTCCTGGAGTGTGTGAAAGAGGTATAATATTCACCTTTTTTATGGCATTTATGGTGTCGAATAATGATACGCAAACGCCCCCTTTTGTGCATAATTAGAGTTAATTAGTTGTCCATTTTCCACCGTCTCTAATGAGCAAAAATAATGTATAAATTGACAGTTTTGAAGATTTGGAAGCATTATTGTTTTGGAATTCAACTAGTATACATCGACTATTACAGCAAATATTTCGAAAAGAAAACGACAAAATACGTTTCTCCATCAGTCGCGAACGTTTAAAAAAAAGTAATCACATTTTGAGCAATAGTTAATTCAAAAATAGGACGTTTCCTCAAAATTCAGTATCAAACTATAGTTTGTATAGTTTATTTATCGGTGAAAATAGCAAAAGTTTAATAAAAACAACATTTCGTCGAAAAAAAATTGACTGAAACGAACTTAAAATTGATCATACAGCATCATCCAATGATTAGTGAAAGAACAAAAATATTTAGAAAGTGAATTTGTCATTGTTCGAACGAGGATACAACGTGTAACAAAACATTTTCAAAATGAATATAATGGATTACGTGTGGTCACGAATAATTGAAACTTATAATACTGATCCCGGGGATGCAATATTCTACGAATTAAGTAAAATAAAATTCAATGTTTCGTCAATTCCATCCTCGATAAACGATACCGGTTCAGCATCATCTCAACCGTCGAAGCGTCGAAAAATTGTCAAAAATGATGCAAAAACTGTAGACCAAACATCGGACATTTTCAAGTTGACTCTGGATTGTTTGGACGAATTATTCGAATGGATGCCCATAAATGAACTTCACGCCTTCGGGCAGACATGCAAACGAATGCAGCGCGCGGCCGGACTTCATTTCCAAAAAACATACAAGAATAGCTGGATTGCGGTAAAA